CTGTTGTGATGTCCAAATGTCTGTTGTCAATGATATTCTACTAGAGATATTTTGCAGAATATTTTTGACAAAATTTTTGCGATCTTGATATAATTTTAAACAATCTCTTTTAATGGTATCAGCGCTACAAACTTTAAAATCAGGTCGTAATCCTGAAATAAAGTTTAAAAATCCAGTATGTTCTACGAATTGAAAACTCAATTCATCTCTAATAACCATATTAACTAAATCGTTCCTGCTTTTTTCTTCAGAATAAACCCAATTTTTAATCTGATTAAAAGTATATTGCATATCATTGTCTGGATCATGTTGTGTATTTGCTGAAGTAGGTAATCCAGTTGCTATTTTATATTTACTACAAGTACTTAAATGCCGGTGTAAGTGTGTAGTACCTGATGATCTTTTCTGAGAAAATTCTTTTTTACAATGAACACATCGTGCTTTATTTTTATTAGGATCAGATGAAGATATTAAGTTAAAATCATTCCAAACTGCTGATGAACGCTTTTTGTTATTAATATGAACATCACTACTAGAAGTCTCCTGGCTTGAAATAGAATCACTTTGCACAATTGAACTATTATCTGCTTCTATTTAATTATTCTCTTAATTAAAGTTAAAAAAAAAATAAGTATAATATTTTATTATTATTGATATGCAAATATTGTTAATTTTACTAACCTATCGTTTTAAAATTATCCAGGTACAGGTACAAGTACGATAATGTGTAAGTTTCTAGTATGCAAATTTTTGGTATATAAATCCTTGGTATATAAGTTTTTGATAATTCTTTGGTAGGTAAATTTTAAGTACGTAAATTTTTGATAAGTCTTTAGTAGGTAAATCTTATATACGTAAATTTTTGGTAAGCCATCAGTAATAAGCTTTAGTGTAAAAGTCAATATACAAACGTAAGTATATTTTAAAAATGATAGATTTATATACAAAAATTAATCTCGTGATTTATATCCAATAAGTTTTTAACAATTGTAAATATTAAAATTCTAAAATATATTTTCTTATTTTTCGAACAGAA